GTCCCTGACTTCATATAAAGCATACTTATCTGATTCCTTTCAACATTACCTATCATTCAAAAGTAAAGATTGTAAGTTCAAAGCATCTTTTAACAGTAACCATTGGCGAGTACAGAAAAGGGAACAAGGGGAAACATTTTTGGGGTGTTAAAATCATATGCGGTTTGGTAAAAATGCAAACCGCAAACTGCACCGCAAACCACATTTTGCGGTGTGGTGTAGGCAGTTTATGCGGTTTGGATGAACACCCTTATGTAAAACTCGAGACGTAATGTGTGTTTTTATGTGTAAAACTTAGAGAGAGAGTGTGTGTTTGTGTTCGTAGAACCTTGGACATAATATGTGCTTGTGTGTAAACCCCTAAACCCAATGTATGTTATTGTGTGTAAATTAGCCCGGACCCAATCTGTGTTTACATGTAAAACCCAGACCCAAGTCATGGTATTCCAAACAACCACATATGTGCATGTGCATACTCAATTGAATAAAATTCACATGCATAACATAATGTCCTCATAGACGACCCAGACCCGTGGCCGGCTGCCTGGTGGGGACGGTTCCCCCGTTAAGTTGTAGGGAAACAGGAATACACTAACGAAGTTTATGAGTGTGTATTCAACGATTACTATACCCAATTGATAAAATACATCCACTAATGAATTTGAGATTGTGTATATCCATCCATCCATAAATATACTCACATACAAAATAAATTGATGAGTATACACCCTAGGAAATTTTATCAATGGATATTTATTAATAAAGTATATTAATATTAATATTGGTATTTGATTAAAATTAATTAAATGCTAATCTTTATAATTTATTTTAAACATAATTTCTTTAGAATATTAAAAAAAATAAAAATTGGAACAACGTGTGAAAATAGTTGAATCTGAATTTTAATACGATTCCATATTTTTTTCTATTTTAATATCAATCTCAAAAGTTTCATTTTAATTACAAAAATGTGACAACGACACTTGTGTTTGATCAAAAGTCTCGGATTAATTCTCGTTTAGCCCTGCACGTGTGTGTGTGTGTGTGTATATATATATATATATATGTATCATAGACGGACCTAGAGGGATGGTCAGGTGACACGTGCCACCGTATTGTTCCTCCGTGGTAAGATAAAAAAATTAGGTTCGTGAAAGGTGCAACAATTTTATATGGTGTTCTCGTATCTAAAAATTCTTGGGTTCGTCCCTGGTATGTATAAAATGAAATAAAATATAAAAACCCCAAAATGCTCATAAGTTGAAGGATTTTTTTAGAGGAGTTAATTCGGGTGATGAAAAGAAAGAAATTGTAAACCACAATAACTATAATGTAATAAACAAACCATAAGGACTAAAACAGATATTTGTAACATACTACACGGACCAAAATTGTAGTTACTCTCCGTTAAAAGCTCTTGGTTCACTTTTTTGCGTAGATTCTCGACTCACTTCCTCTAGCCCCCTCAATTCCTTCCCTTTTCAAGGTTAAACCCTTCTTCATTTTCATTAATTTGAATTCGTTTTCCAAAAACTAATCTGTGTATTCCCTCACTTTCCTTATGCATTTGATACAATTTCGACTTTTAATTGCTGAAATTGTGGTGTTGTTGGTTTCTGTTAGGTTCAACAAGAAATCAAGAATCTATCTTCTTCACCATCGTACTCATCTTCTCCAAATGGGTGATTGCTCCATTTGATTTCCGATCAGTGAATTACGTCAGAAAGATTTGGACTCGTGGTTCTCTTTGTATGGGGAGAAGATCCTGTAAAATTGCAGGCACAAAGGTAAGACCTCATCTGTGCTTTTGTGTCCTCATTTATATGGATTTCGCCATTGATTACGGAGTTTTAAATATAAAATCCCCTTATTTAAATTGATTAAAGTTCTTCACATTTTTGAGTAATACATTGTAACTGCATCTAGTTCTAATCATAACAGATAGTAAGATGTTGCTGTTCAATTCGTTACAAAAACTATATGAAATTTGAATGTGGGAAATAATATATCTGACCCAAAAGATCAATGCCTACATAGGTGTAACAATAGTTAGTGATCATCGATAATCGGGGTACTGTATGTGTTTTTATACGTTGTTACCATTCTTTAATTGAAGTAATCTAGATTGAGATACCAATTGAGGAAATTGTTTTAAATTTAGGGTCCTTTCATGTTAAAAAGGTTCTCAAAGAGTAGAAACTTGTAGATTAGTCTATAGTGGATGGGTGATTTTTGAAAATTATGGTTTTCATTTCAAAAGACGTAGGGTTATATGATGAAAAGCATGGTGACAGCAATGGAGATAGATGATACTAATGCAAGACAACTCCATCTATATTATTAGTTATATACATACACACACACAAAACTAATTTGCCTGTTCTTGCTGCCTTCTCCCAGTTGAAATTTGAAACCCCGTGAGGCTTTGGCTGTGCTGTGATATCAGATAACCTTAGAGAGCGATGGAGAGACTTGGAGATTTCGAGCTAAGCTCCATTTTCAAGCGTATTCACAACCCAGATGACCGAAGATCATTCTTTCAAGTTTCCAAGCAATTCTTGAAAGTTGCATGCACCTTCCTACTGAAGTCTCACATTTCGTCTCCTGATTTCCTCTATGAAATCCTACCTGCATCCCCGAATCTGGTCGCTTTCGAATGCTCTAAACCACTTTCAAACACCCACATGAAACTCCTTGCACAATCTTGCCCCAAGCTCCAATACCTGAAGCTCAGTTTAGAACAAAACTCACATCCTGATCAGATGGATTCTGAGTCAGGTGAGTTTGATTTTGATGACGATGGTCTATGTGCAGTTTCGAATGCTTGTTGCCATTTGTTTGAAGTGATCTTATGCAGGAGGTTACATGTTGGGGATGTAGGAGTTGCTTCCCTTATAAGATCATGTAAGGATTTAGCAATTTTAGATTTGAGTGGATGTGTTGGTGTCAAAGACGAATCACTGAAAGCTATTGGAGAAGCAAGTCGTTTAAGTATTTTGATTTTGCACGGTTGTTCTTTGATTACCGATTTGGGTTTGGAGTATCTGGCAAATGGGGATGTGAAAAATTGTTTGGAAGAACTTGTTTTAGCCGAATGTGATAGGATTAGTGATGGTGGTATCATCTTCTTGAAACAAATGGTTCGTCTAACTGATCTGAATCTATCAAAATGTGGGGCTAATGTGACAGATTTCGGTCTTATGGCCTTATTCCAAATTGGAAACTTTGAGAGACTGAATTTATCTTGGTTGTTGAACGTAACGGATATATCATTGTTTGATATCGCTACCTGGTGTTTGAAACTTACAGCCATTAATTTGACGGGTTGTGAGGCTGTAACTGGTGGAGGTCTATGCGCATTTGCTAACCATCGGACACTGGAAGAAGTTACGCTGTTCTCGTGCCATAATTTTTCTTGGGAAGATGTGGAGCTGGTTGCTCTCACCTGTGTAAGATTGAAATATCTTGGGATCAGTAGGACAGCAAAGATGTCTATGCCAGAGGTAATTCAGGATGGCTTTTATGTGATCAACAACTGTTGGATAGATTGTGAATGACTTCTGTCTCTCTCACTATATGTGTGTGTTTCTAAAATCTCCATGGCTGGAACCTGTTTCTGGTTTTCATCTGAATGTAAAAAGATCATATCATCATATTGTGATTAGCTTTTGAGTTTAGCATATTGGGTTTTTGGTTTGTTTCTTTAGTTAGCATGCATGGTGTTTACTTTCATCAACTTTAATGGCGGTTTTATGAATACAGTAGAAGAAACCCTAATTCAGTTTTAGGGGATGAAGATGGTGGTTGGTTTCTTTTGAGTCAAAGGTGGGGCATCTCATGATCAGTTTCTTGATCTGCTTGGCTTTAAAAGAAGGATGCTTTGCTTGCACGTTAAAAAGATAGTTTTCTTGATCATTAAGGAAGACTAGTGACAACTGCATGCATGCATCCATCCATTTTTTAATAAAATCAGTTTAGCTAACTAAAACACGAAATAAAAATGTTGGTTTTTTAGTTCACAATTTTCAAATTACAAACGTTTAATCAAAAGATCGAAATTTATATTAACGAGCGGATGAAACCAAGAAATAATCCCTCGTACGGAATTATAGAAGATTTAAAAAGATGACTTTTAGGTAATCAGACGAGAATCGAACAATCCATGTTAAATGTGATAAATATTGTTTACGGTTAACCACTTAACTGGTAATATATAACTTGGGTCTTTGAGAATTTTTTTTAGAGGTCCTTTTGAAATTTTTCTGTTTATTCTTTCAGGTCCTTCTGAAATTAGTTGAGGTGTGTACAAACTGGTTTGAACCTCCAAAGTTAACAAAAAAAATATTGTTTATGGGTTTGTTTAAATTTATTAGTGAATAAATGTGTGTTGGCACGTATCAAATGTGTATCCATATATTTTTAGAAGTGTTATGCACAGTTTTGCACATAGAGTCAAGAGTAGAGATAGACAAAAATTGGGTCCCGATATGTCCTAATCCAGGTTCACTCATTATCAGTCCTATCATAACCGATTTTAGCGGTTTTTGCTAAGTTATACGTTTATAATTACTAATGGATAAATAATAAATCATAACTCAAAACTAACCAAAATCATGAAAACATGAAATAAAAGAAAATATCTGATATGATATTTTAGGATTTTGTTTTCTTTTATTAAATATACATAATGATATAAATCATGTCAGGTTCAATTCTTGCGCCCAACATTTGTGGTTATCACAGATTCACGGATGTATGGGATGGGCATGCTTTAGCGTTTGAGGTTTATTGGATCGGACGATATATAAGTCTAACAACCTCCTCAATGATACAAATCAAATGTTTATAAACGTATAAAAAGTTGATAATTTTGACATTATCTTGAAGTCGAGTGACTAAGCTCATGGTTTGGACAACATTTTACATATATCAAGGAAAAACTTTTAAAATTGTAATGTGTTTTAGATCAGTTGATTATAAAACTCTAGACCTGACTTTAAAATAATGTTCTATCTAAAAGTTGTATTTTAATTTAATCTTATTTTATGATCAATTTTAATTTTTTATGGTTAATTTTCGGTTTGATTAGGGACTAACTACAAACACAATTTCAAAATTAAATTAGTCTATATAGTTGTGGTATAGTCAGGAGTTAGTCATTAAAAAACAAGATCTTTAATAGTTGTGTTATAATTTTTCTGAAATAGAGTATCAAAAGTAAATTACATTCAACTCTGATGGCTACTTTATTTTAACAATTATATTTATTAAAATATTCAGTATATTTAATAAAATATTTTTCTCTTTTCTAAACATTTAATTTCAGTGTCTCCTGTTGTTGAGAGGTATTAAATATTACTCCTCTCTTCAATATAGAGTTTTAGAGATTTCTCCAAATTTGAAGATTTTTTTTTCTACTTTAGTATACAGGATAGTATAGCTCTTGGAGCAAAAAAATTGTTAAAATCTCAGTTTTCTCCATTTTAACATAGTTGTTGGATAACGAAGAGGCTTGGATTTATGAGCAACACTCCGGTTTTGACAATTTTACAAGCCAACCCAATGATGACGGTTTGGAAAATCTCAACCAAACCAACTCATTTAAAAGTATAAACCAATACCACCCAACTCTTACGGTTTAAGACGGGTTGGGTTGACGGGTTAATAATATACAAAAACTTCTACCAATTCTCTTACTATGATAAGCATAGTCTGTTCCACAATAATTACAAACACATTTAGAGTCCTTTCTTAAAAGGTGATTCCAAACGTTTGAGGTTCTACCTCCCCTTTCATATGCGTGTTTGTTTTATCATTGTTTTCAATTTTGGGGGACTTGAGAGTATTTTCCATTGCTCCTATACATAGAAAATAGGATATAAAAAAAATACAAAGTTACAACCTACATATGAGATTTCTTTAGTGCAATAAAAACAAACTTCTAAAAGCATATGCCACTACACCAAATGTTGCCTTAGACAACAAATGTAAATTGCCTATGTTGCTTTAGATACGCTAAGACAACAAATGCTATTATATGTTGCCTAAGTTTCCTCTAATGCAACATATGTTTCTATGTTGCCTAAGTGTGCCCTTAGGCAACATATAAATAATTCTATGTTGCGTGCATATATCTYAAGCAACATACTAGCATATGTTGCCTTAGTTCAATGTTGGACACTGGTTGTTTTTTTTTTAAATCCGTCAAAGTTTACTTAGTCAACATATATTCTTATACTATGTTGCCTAAGGTAAAAACATAAATCCAACAAAGTTTACTTAAGCAACATATATTCCTATTTCTAT